CTCACTGATTTGCACTTTGATGTTTGAAAAAATTTTTTTTTTTTTTTTTTTTTTTTTTACTGCTTTTGTATTTTCCTATTTTTGTCTTGTCTAATAAATGCGCTTGGGTTATAAATACTCTGCAAACCACTTGGGCTGCACAACAAATTTCCCTATGCAGCAGATGCCCTTTGTTCACTTTGAAGCAGTCTGTGGTTTTGTTTCAAAGCATTGTTTCAGTGACAGATGATCCCACGGACAGCGAAGCTGGAGAAGCGGGAGGAGAAGGAGGCTCTCCCCTTGTTGTGGACAGTTTCCCCTGCCCAGTGTACTTCTACTCCTGCTGGAGCTTCTCAGATACTGTGTCCAGTGTTTTAGTTCTAAGGCAGAATTCTCTGTTCTGTTGCAGGTTGCCAGGGCGCCTGGCTGAAAGTGTACTGAGATGAGAGTGAAGGAAGGGTCCTTTCTGTGGTACCTCTATCTGGATAAAATATACTGCTTGTTATCTGCAAGAAATGTGAAGGCCTTGCTGGAATATTTTCGCCTTCTTGATGTACACCGCCAAAACTCCTTAAACGGTCAGTACTTCTCCATGTGTTTCCTTGGAGTTAGTATCTGGTTGATAACAAATACACAGGAAAACCTGTAGAACCAGACACACTTAGCTAACAAATACTTATGTATTTACGTGTGGTACTGGCTCTTGAACTCAGGGCCTCAGGTATGCTAAGTGTTCTACTGTCCCCTTTACACACCTAATCTTTTTTGTTTTTCTGAGACAGTCTATGTAGTCTAGGCTGGCCTCAAACTCATGGTATCCCCCTGCCTCAGCCTACTGAGTGCTAGGATCACAGTTTTGTGCCACCACACCTAGCTCCCCCTCCAGCTCCCCCACCCCCATACATTTTTTAAAATTTTGAAAACTCTGGGAACTCTGGGAAGCTAAGTTAGAGTCCAGCCTGGGCAACTTTATGACTTAGTGAGAACTGGTCTCAAAATTGGAAAAAAAAAAAAAAAAAAGGGCTGAGAATATACCTCACTGTGAAGGTCCTGGGTTCAATCTCCAGTATCACAAAGCACCCCGGCATTTTGGGGGGAGGGAGACTGGAACGGTCTTGGAACTTATGAACCTTTTGTCTGAGGCTCTGAGTGGCAGGGATTACAGGCAGATGCCACCACGTTCAGCCACAAGCATTTATCTTTCAAGTGAAGCACGGGAAGAAACAGTCAATTCAGAGTTGGTAGTTTGGTAAAGAAGATACAACTTTAGGCTCTGGGGTAAATCCAGGCTCTATCATTGCCCCTTGTTCCTCTGGAGAACACAGCACCATCCTCTTTAGATATCAACTTCCTCATTTAGAAATAATAATGGAGCCCATGGGGTGGTGGTGTGGCTCAGTGGAAAGCTGTGGGTTCCATCCCCAGCACACACACATTTGTTTGCACACAGGCGTGTACACACACACACACACACACACACAGAGTAAAAGCAAAAGATCAGATCAGATTTTTGTGTTCTCTGTGTGTTACCTGTCTTCCCGTCAGCCTGCCCCAGGGCAGGCAGCTGCAGGACCCTGAGCTCTAAGAGTGCTGAGCTTGGGCCCAGGGCTCACTGACTCCCAGCCCTGACTCAGTCTCGGGGGACTCTTTGTTCAGGTCCCATCTCCCTAGTAACAAAATCCTTCCCTGATGATGCAATTCCCTAGAGGTAAAGCCATGCTCATGTTTCTGATCACCAAGGTTTGCCTTGAGGGTGGGGTGACTTCAGGCCTTGGAGGCTTGAGTGGGTCAGGGTCACTGGTTTCAAAATTAAGCAGCTACCAGGTCCCTCATGAGAAATTTCTAACAGAGCAACTCCCATGCAACACTGTGTGTGTGTGTGGTGTGCTGGTCCCAGGTGCACAGACCTGGTACGGCATGAGAAGGAACATCAAGAGATCACCAGAAGTCCCTAAGTCCTGACATGATGAATTGGTTCACTGTGTTCTACGCTAGCTTCATTTGGGACTCCAAATTACATAGATGTGTTTTACATAGTCAGAGAAGTCAAAAGATAGCTTCCATAATCAATAGGCGAGGGGAAAACCCAAAGTTACTCTGAAAACCTCTAGATATGCTGGAATGAAAACATACACCCAAGGATAGCCACACACCGGTGCAGAAACCAGTCACCTGTTTCCTCCATTCGGTCTTGAGGCAAACAATTAGCAAGTGAAATGGCAGGCAGAAGCCTTCCCTGTTCTTTTCTGGAACTGGGGATTGAACTCTGGCTCTTGCAAGCGCTTATTCTACTGAGCCATCTCCCCGGCCCCCATCCTTCCCTGTTCTATACGGTAATTTTTCCCTGATGTATGTGAGTGAATATGCATTCACTAACATGGAAAAGATGTGGCTTCCCTTCCCTGTGGGAAGAGTGAGGCTGTGCAATCTACTGAGCCATGTGTGAACCCAACTCTGCCACCTGCTCTGTAAGTGACCTTGGAGTATGGCAGGGGCAGGACCAGGTGACCTAGGACCTTGTAGAGATGTGGACTCACACACAGATCTTCTGCAAAAGGGAAGGAGATGCAACAGGGGAGAAAGGGTTGAAAAAAATTAAGACATATATTATGTACTTTTTGTAATGAATGTAAACATTATGTACTGCAAACATATATATAT